TTGCCACATCACAGAAATTAAGATGAGCTGGATAAATTTGAACTAGAAATGGACATAGAATCTGAAGATCTAGATGTAAATACTTATGAAATAGTGAATGAAAGTGGAAATGTAGATACTTCAGAGGATGATGATTACATTGTGGAAGATGAAGATATTGAAGAGGATGAAAATAAAGAAAGTTTCAATGAAACAATCACTAGCCAGTAAGTATATATTTTCATGCATCTTTTCTCATAGAGGAACTTTCCTCGTATGTAGATGAACAAATATTTTGTAAACCTTATGTTTTGACTTCAAAATAACATTAATCATCTTTTAATGGTATCATTACAACATGGCGAGTAACCAGAAAGGATCAACTGTTGAGCTAAGAACTTTCGAAAAATACGACAAGGGGGCTGTTTTTGGGAGAAAAATTGAGGAGATAGATGGAAGGAAGATGGTGAAGTTCATTTGGTGCAAACTTTGCGCTATAAAAAACTGTTGTTTATTCATATACTTTTATTGATGATTTTCGAAACTAAAAATCACCTGCCTGACTTTACCAAGGAGAGCGATGGTCCACTCGCCAGCTAAAATGCTCACGGCCAGGCCTGTATATGATGAGTCATTTCACTTTTAGTTCTGAAGATGCTGAACCCAAGGATGTTCGCATTGAAGGAAAATTCATTGTGTTTCTTTTTAAACTTCTTCTGTTGTTTCGTGTCTGCCCAGCTTGCAAACAAGATGGTCTGCTTGAAGAAGCAAGGGTTTTTGGAACTATGGTGGAGATTGCCTCCTCTTGTGTCAACCTGACATGCCTGGCACTAGAATCCCAGCTCAAAACTTTCTTCTGTCATTTGCAATTCTTGTAGCTGGTGCATCAGCAACAAAGTGCCCTCACCTCACGCATGCGAAGTGTGGTCACCGCATACTAATGAACTGAAACAACGAATTGAAAAGGTCCAAAGAAACAGAGCTCATTTTGTTATGGGAGAGTATCGTCAGAGATCTACAATCACTGCCAAAACTCTTGGAACACTTGTGAAATTTAAACACTCTCATGCCTCTGTTCCCCTCCCCTCCTTCAAACAATGTTGTCTCACAGCAAATTCAAGACATACTTTTGTGGCAAACCTTTTTCTACCGATCGCTCTGATAAACTGCATTGTATGTAACATTGTTTTAGGGATGAGGGGGGTTTGTCTATTAGAAACATGGGAAATATACGAAAAAAGCAAAAAATTAGCAAAATATGTAGGTGTTCCAAGGAGTTTTGGCAGAGATTATCTGAGTATAATTCTTTAAACTAATAGATATGATATCAAAACCTGTATCTACCCCAGGGTATTCGATGCATTGAGTTCATATCTGCCATTTTTGAAACCAAATTCTGGACCAGTTCAATGATTTTCAAGGGTAATTTCTTTTTTAGCAACTAACGCAGGAAGTGGCCATCGGAAGTCAATAGAATGTATACAATATTATTTAAGAGAGAGTAAATATAAGTAAATATAAAATAAATATGGCCTTTGCGAATTTATTGAGATTATAGTTGCAATTCCTTGGGTATTTGCATAATATTAAGTATACCTTTTTGACAGTGTAATAGCTGGAGCAACGGAATAAATGTGCGCAGTTTTGCTTGTTCACAATACTATTACGAAGCATACATGTTGTTAGAGGCCAAATAGTGTTAATGGGCAACAAAGATACTTTGTTAACAATACATATCTTTAGTCTTTATTGTATTGGGTTTTCAATATGATAGAATGAAACTATCACAGTTCCAAGTCAGAAATGAGGCTATACGATAAGGAGGTTGAGACAACAAAAATCAATTTTTCAAACACAATCTTCAGTTGTATAATTTGTAAATGCAGTTGTAAAATTGAAACATTGATATGGCAAGTGCAATTGAAGTTAGCGACGAGGGGGCTCCAGAAATCTTACCTACAAGTGTTTCAAGGAAAGTTTACCTTATAACATATATTAACGCAAACATTGAGCTAAAATTGAGCAAACATTGACAGAGAAAAATTGTCAGCTATTATAAAAGAGTCTTTTACGGTGGCAGCTACAAAATTCGCCGTAATAAAATGGGCATGCTGTGTATGGAAAAGCAAAAAATTGGAGCATACCATTTTCATATGTGTATTTTACTGGAAAAATATCAACGGTGGTTAAAAGTAAAAAAGTACATTTAAGATCACCATCACATTATTGTGAATTTTTCCAGACATTCAGGGTATCATACTGCCTTCAACTATGTCGCCAAGTAGGATGAGGGTTTCATCAAGAGTGAGAACCATCCAGAGGTAGCTGCGCCAAAAACATCAAAGGCCACAAAGGCTAAATCCGGTTTTACTAAACTATGGAATCACCCAAAACGAGCCAAAACGAGCCAAAACGATGCATAACCAGCCAAAACCAGACGTAACGACCCAAAATTACAACAGAACGACCCAAAACGATCCGAAACGTCGCAAATAGCATCAAGCAGAACGACCGTTTTTCGTACCTTTTTTGACCTGTGCACGTTGGCTGAGAGTGGCAAACCAAGAAAATGGAGGCGACGCTGTCTGCTCTTTTAGATGCAGAGCAGGTAATTTAATATCTTTCTTTTACATTTCTTTTCTCTTCTTTTCATTCCCAGTTTTACCTATTCTTTGCCTGCTTCTTTTTGTGTGATGGTTAGTGGCCTAAGCGGCCAAAAATCAACAACGGCATTGTCCGTATTCTGTCCGTATAAGCCATCCTAATAATAATCAAGTACATTCTCATCGCCATTATAACCTATTAAGTATGATGGTTGCCCATCCCAGAAGTAATTTAGATTTGTCTATGTTCTATGGTGATTTTTGCAGCCTGTTATCATGCCAGGGTCAGGCTGGAAATCGAGAAAAAGGCCAAAGGCACACTTGGCTCGCTAATTTTTCGAAATTTTTCCCACCTCCAAATTTATTAAAAGCTCTCCCCCCTTAATAAATTTTTCCCTTTTTTAATCTGAACAAGATTTTTTCTTGCTGGGAATATCCCGGTTATAGGTAGCCAGGTATTATAATTATCTGTCACTAGTTAAAAAGTCCATGTAAATATTGACTGTAAATGACATCTTGCTCTTGCTTCTTTTGTTTTTAGGAAAGAGGAAGAAGAGATCTAGAAGTTGGGGTTTGCCGGCAAATTTCTCCCCAAGAGAGAGTTGAAACAGTGAAACTGAACCTGAGGTGACAATTGGCACCAATTGTCTTGACAGAAACTCCTGAACTCAATATAGATATTTGTATGATATTTAACAATACTTATGTTATACAGGGACGCGCCACCCCAAAATTTGCAAAGACGACCTGTTCTGGAGTCAAATAAAAAAAACTGATACCCTGATAAGGCTATCAACCAGCATACATTATTCTCCTTTATGGTTTCAATAAACATTTCACAGTTTCGGCAATCAATTGTGGCTCATTCTGCGCTGTTTAGTTTATCAAAAATTTAAATTGGCACAATTCAAAATTTTATTTTTGACATGGTTTCATGCATTATGACCATGTTGCGGAGCCAAAAAGAAAGGTACAACCCTGGCATGGAGTCAGAGTCAAAAAGTGATACCCTTTTATGGAGTTTGAAGTCTGAAAACAATACTCTGTTGGTTGGCACCTCCCTGTTAGCGAAAACATATGATTGCCCATTAGGCTAAAAACCAAATGCCTTTGAGTAAACAATAATATAGATACAATCTGAAGGTTTTCACTCCTTCACCTAGTGGGTTTAAGGGGGCCACGCCAATTTATCAAAAGGATGTAAGTAAGGTGCAAAAAGGAATAGCCAAATCAAATTTCGTTAATTTTTATAAAACAGAAACTACTTGTGGCTTATCCAGTAAATGCCACTCATCATGAGAACAGTACACATTCAAGATAATTGTAAATCCAATAAGTTACCTAATCAACTCTTTTTTCATTGGCATCACTCCCCATTGTTATCCATCTAAACTGGGGAGAGATTTTAGAAACATGGACCAATGTTTCTAATTCTAGACTCTTCAAAGTATACAGCAAAATGTAGCTAATAAAATGTTCATTGCATATGACAAGGATGTTGAAATGTTTCAATCCCAAGACCATAAGTGAGCAAAATGGTGATAAAAGCTCTAATGCCTCCCTATCAAGCTTCACATCTAAAATTTTTTAAAAGTAACACTTGATCTAAGCTCTTTTGTAGGATAGCTGAAAGGTCTATTGAAGAATTTCAGAAACAAAGATTATGTGCATATTACAGTATGTCTTACATCAAATAATTCCTCCACCCCCAAAGGAGCTTTATGAAATGTTTCTGGGTGTAACTGCCTAGTGAAAATATTCCAAAAGGAACTTTGCAAACAAGTTCTAGGATAGGATATCTACAATGAGAGCCCTAGGGATTTAAGATAGTTCATCTCATCTTTTTGCAGTTCTTTGTTTGTTTCTTCTGGGACAGTGATGTTTTTGTAATCAAAGACCTGGAAGTAGGATCTCAGGCAGTCCTCCAAGAAGTGAATGTGTACTGGTCCTTCTCTTTTTTGGTGGCTCCCTCTCTTGTCAATGTAACTCACAGTTCCAGAATAATGAGGTAGTCATTTGCTCCAATCTTAGTGCTGCAGCCAGGAGCATAACATCTGAAAGCAGGAATTATGATGGAACAATGCAACAATTTGGCTGTCATAAAAAGCAAAAGAAGGTAGAGCCAGCAAGCAGAGTTTCCTAGCCTTGCACACAAGTTACACAATAGCCAGACGATACCAAATATGCACGCGCACACCGAGAGGCAAAACATTCAGCCTGTTTACGTTGTTATGTCGACAGTGATCACAGTTCTTGAGCTTATTTTTACAAATGGGGGATGGCATCTACTTACTATGAAAAGCTTTCTGTTGAAGACAAAAAACGGTATGATGAAAAATTAACTCTCGCAAATGGCACAAAGCTAGAAGATCCTTTCACGCTAGAGAGTGGATGGACCGACGACATAACAAAGCTTCCTAATGTTGCTTGGGAAGGCATAACAAAGTACCTTGTTGAGTCCCCAAGCACATTCACAAATGAATCGCGGAAGGCTTATTAATCGCTTGATGGCTATCACTTTTTCCGAGAACGACATGTCCATGACTGTTTTCATCATCCAAGTTCAGCATCGAAATCGTTTTGTTTCATCAAATCCCAGGTAAGTGAACTAGGCCCTACACAAAACAAGGTGCCATTCTTGTATTTCTCAATCCGAAACGAAAGATCATTGAACAGCATATGTAAACAAATTTAATTTTGAAATTTTATAATCTAAGGAGTGAATCTGCACATTCTGCAACATTCTGCATGCATGTCAAGTCAGCCCACCATAGGAGTGCATAGTACTTTAGAAGAATGCCTTCCCATTTTAGATTTTAGGTCCTCATGAGTTTACATCAAAATGTAAAGGTATCCTTCGAACTCAAAAGTTGCCAATAGCTTTATGAAACTTTTCTTTTTGTGCTCACTGAAAATGATATTTTCTAAAAAAAATTGAATAAGCTAGACATTATGACTTGCTTCTTACAGGTGCTGCCCAGTCAACGACAAGGAAAATCTGCCAAGTTATATGATGTTTGGGTGGCAATTAACAATCAACATGGATGGATTCTCACAGCAAACTGTACCTGCATGGCAGGATTGGGATCTGCCTGCAGTCATATAGCAGCTTTATTATTTAAGCTTGAAGCTGCCACCCACTACAAGCTAAATGAGGAAGTTTCTTGCACCAGCCAGTTGTGTTCATGGAAGGCAAGCAAAGACAAGTCAACCCAGCACCCATAAAGGCAATAAATTTCAAAAAGGGAAATAAACATGATCTACCCCAGGCACATAGCATCAATTTTGCCACAACTTGTTATAGTGTTATGGATCCAACTTCAGGGGAAGGCAGTATCTGTAAGGAAAAATTCAAGGAGCTACATAGGATCAATAATAAGGCAGCTATTTTCACCAGCATACACAAGGAAGATCTAGATATACAGGGATCTTCCAACAAAAATTGGTGTGGTAGTGATACAGATAGTGCTGGCAGTGATGCTGAGTGTACTAATAACATTCTTCCAGAGCCACTAGTGAGTCTTTTTGACCCAACATCTATAGAACTAGATGGAAATGCACTGCAAAGTTTGCTCTTAAGCAGTATAGGCAATACGAAAGAAGCTTTGATGCAAAGACCTATCAGAATCTATTTAAAGAAACAAAGTTGCAGTCACAGTCACCAAGCTGGATCCTACACAGAGCTGGTAGAGTAACATCATCTAGATGCTACCAAGTTGCAAAAACAAAAGTAGAGAGTCCTAGTACCTCTCTGATTTCATAGATCATGCAGCATGAATCAGCAAGTGGCAGTGACAATAAGTTTACCAAATATGGACAAAGGATGGAATCAGTTGCTAGGGATTTCTATAGAACAAGTATGTCTAGCTGTCACAAAAACTTGCAGGTAGAAGAAACAGGTTTTCTTGTGTGCGCTGCTTCTCCCTTTTTAGGTGCATCTACTGATGGCCTTGTGACCTGTTCTTGTCACGAAAACAGAGTTTTAGAAATAAAATGCCCATACAAACAGGGTTGCCAGACCCTATTGGTCAGCAGTAGCCAAACATGATGCTGAAGGAGGCCAAAATGTAGCCAAATTTTTTAGCAGAAGAAAACACATTGTTTAACGAAATTGATCAGTTTATATATTCTGAAACGAACCATTTCCATGGATGCATCATTCAGTTAATTCAGACTTAATTAAATTTTCCACTCGAGAAACAAAACAACAACAACAACAAACGTTGCTAAATTTGAAAAAAAGCAAAACAAATCAATTACTAAAACTACATCGCTAGTCATACGGAAATTAGTAGAGTAGAATAGATATTAAAACAAAATTAAATTATTAAAAGCAGTTGAAAAAGTCAAAAGTCAGTTAATCAGAGAATTGTTCATCTCCACGTCAGCAATTAAATTTTATAATGACAATGCAACCATGAAATGAAAAATATATGATATATAAACATAATTCATTATAAACAATTACCCTGTTATAAACTTGGTTACTGCTTTGACTTGATAAAATTAACTTAATTAAATTCAGTTAAAAAATCAACAACGTGAAGAGAAACAGAACAAAAATTTTCCCAAAGCAGTAACCAAGTTTATAACATTGTTGTAATTGTTTATAATGAATTATGTTTATATATCATATATTTTTCATTTCATGGTTGCATTGTCGTTACAAAATTTTTCACAAGTATGCATTCAAGTTAGCTTCATCTGCATCTGCAGAAGTTTCCCCTTGGTTGTACATGTTTGTAGAATTGAACAACTCAAGCATTTCTGGTGAAACTCTGAGATCTCGGCAACATTTTTGCCCAAACTTGAAATTAACTCCAATTCTGATTACAGCATCCAGCATATCAAGACGCATTCTGCTTCTTAGCTTTGTTTTTACATTAGTGACGTGTGAAAACACTCTCTCGCATATGGCATTGCTCACTGGGGTCGCAAGGGCTGTTAAAGCATAAAGAGCCAATCTTTTGAATGGTTGCTCTCCTGTACTAGATGTGTACTTCAAAATTCCACACCAAAATTCAGCTGAATCTCTTGGGACAAATCCATTAAAAACGCTTTCGCCTGCCCAGTCGACATGAAGGATCCTGCGATATTCTTCTTCAACTGATGATATATCAGCCATGACGTGAAGCATGGGTAAAGAATAAAACGGCACACGGTCAACCTGAGAGAGAACTGTCGCTGGGGACAGGTAGCTGAGGCCTTTGAAAATAGTTTCATTCCCAGGAAGTCTATTTTCAACCTGTGTAAGCGCTTCAACGAGAAAACTCTGGCATCGGTTATACACTTCCTCTACCTTCACTTTCGCTTCAGCAGAATTTCCGTGATGATGAATATACTTTTGTGATTCCATGACAAATTTCACACCAAAATCAACACGAGAGTTTGGCAGAACTTCATCGCCTGAGCCATATATTCTGTAGCGTAGAGTGCTGTGGAGCAGGAAGAGCTGTTTGACCATGTCTTCAGGATCTGCATTTGTGGCTTGAAATGACGCATTAACTCGTTCAAATTCTGTCACGATTGGAGAGAGAAAATGAAAATAAAGGTGGTTGATGTCATCATTCAACATGCTCAGCAACATTCTTGCTTTGTAGCGAACATCTGATTTACAATTGGGCTCTTCTACCAAAAAATACGCTTTCAGTTCCTCCCAATTGACAAGAATGTTGAAAAGCACCTTCCCTCTGACAAGCCATCGAGTTGCAGACATTTTCTGGAATGGCATTGGTTTACCTGCGTGCTCATTATTTGGATTCATGACGTCTATGAGCTGGTGGAAAGCCTCTCTTCGTAAAATGCTTTTCGAAAACCACTTCGGTATTTCCTTCAGAAGAAAGCCAAGATTCGCTGGCATCTTCTCGAATGCATGTTGGACACACAAAGCCAGTGAATGACAAATACATTTCATCCGTATACAATTTGGCGACGATTCCCGAATCCTGGACCATACTGAATTCCATTCCCCCACCATTGTAGAAGCACCATCACTTGCAAAGCCAAAGCAGTTGTGCAGATCTAGTCCAACCGTTTGAAGACCAGTTTTCACTGCCTAAAATAAGTTTTCACCCGTCGCTTCGACAACTTCTATCATTCCAACGAACGCTGTGGCCACTTGCATTTCTTGCTCACTGAAGTATCGAATGCATATACAAAGGTTCTTTTTCGCGGCAACATCTGTGGACTCATCAATGAGCACTGCAAAACCTTTCCCTTCTACATCTTTTTGAAGCTCGCGTTTCAAAGATGGTGACACAACATTTTTTATCAACTGACTACATTTTGTACGGTGGAGTTGCATTTCCCCCAAAGCACTTCCTTTGCCATGCTGAACCATTAATTCGCCCAAATGATCAACGGCAAGGATTGCAGAGTGACAGGCTATGCCAACAGCTATTTGAATTTCTGCTTCTTTAACATCCCGTTTGGTTTTCCCTGGTCGAGGGCGTCTTTCTACAGCTAAAGGTCTCATTTGCTGAGTTTCTTTGATTCTAGTTGAGTGCTCAGAAGAGCTTTCATGCTTGGAGATTGACCAAAGTTTCGCTTGAAGAGATTTGCGACAGAGTTTACAGTATGCATTCCCTTTACCATCTGGTGATTGTGACAGCCATACATATTGCTTCTCCCAGCTCTTCTTATACTTTCTTGAACTATCGTAACTTCCTTTCCATTTTGAAGCCATCTTGCAGTTTATTCAAGTGTTTTGCTCAGCTCTTACTATCTGTACTACTTTCGAGAATAATTTTTACATGACTTGGCTTCTGCAATGGAGCGTATAATGAACTTACAGTCCGATGACCCCGCACATGATAGCTGGGTCACACAAGCACCTCATCCGGGATTAATAACAATAGATTGTACATTGGCAGAAACAAAAATCAATTACAAGTAATTTGATGACGAGTTAAATATCTATTTCAAAATCTATTTGTCAATACATCAATCATGATACTCATAATTCATCTGAAGCCATCTTGCAGTTTATTCGATGACCCCGCACATGATAGCTGGGTCACACAAGCACCTCATCCGGGATTAATAACAATAGATTGTACATTGGCAGAAACAAAAATCAATTACAAGTAATTTGATGACGAGAAATTTTTCATAAATCAATCATAATTCTTAAGCACTTTATACAGATAAAATTAGTAAAACCGAAAAAACACAGAAATTGTGTAATCAAATGACAATAGGCCAATTTATAGCCAAAATATAGGTGGAGGCCAAATGGAAATGTTCGTAGCAAAAGTCTTTCCAATTAGGCCAGATTTCTGGAATCTGGCCTCCCAGTAGGCCAGTTGGCAACCCTGCATACAAATACCGTAATGGTTTTGAAGGTTGGCAAAATGATAAAGATTTCCCTCTAGCTCCAAACAAGGCCATGAAAAAAGGTCACAGATACTTCTATCAGATTCAGCTGCAGATGTTTATTTATGATGTTCAGTCCTGTGACTTTTTAGTTTATACGCCATCAAATCCTGACAGCAGTATGGTTGTAAATGTTCTACAGGACAAAGAATTTTTACAATCTTTGGTCAGCAATTTGCAGACAAAGTTTGAGAAAATTTTGCTTCCAGAAATTGTTTCTAGAGCCAAAGATACAATTCAGAATGATCGCAAAGTATATTGCATATGTCAGCGGCCAGCATTTTGACAAATGATAGCATGTGATGGTGTGAACTGTACTGGTAAATGGTTCCATTATCCCTGTGTGCAAATTACAAGAGCTCCAAAAGGATCCTGGTTCTGTAGGCAATGTCGCAGGGAAAAAGACAAAAATACTGCAACTGTTAGAGACTCTTTTTAAATAGAACCTTTAAAAGTTTATAGCAAAAATGTTTTGAATAAAGATTTCCTAAGAAGGGGGGCTAGACATCAGTAGTCACAATATGGTGAACATATTCTACACCTATATACCTTGTTTATTTTATGCTTGATACACCTATTTGATACCCCAAATTTGCTGTTAATATAAGTTATAAGTTATAGGACTGTGTTTTTAAGAAAATATTCAGGTTAACTCCTCATGGATACTAAGATATTTTCACCTTCTTCAAGAAATAGCATATAAAATATCTTCATTTGGAAAAAATTATTATGTACAACCAACAACACTTTTATTCTAGTTAACTGAACCACAAATTACCGTCATAATATTATCCAATAGGTCTACTTGTGAAATTGGAATAAGTGTTTGTAAAATTCGAAAGTCTTTCAAT